ATCATTAGTTTTTAATGTAGTGTTCCATGATTCATTGTTTGTGCATAACACCCAGTGCTCCACACAGAATGTGCCCTCTTTAATACCCATCACCAGGCTAACCCATCCCCCCACCCCCCTCCCCTCTAGAACCCTCAGTTTGTTTTTCAGAGTCCATCATCTCTAATGGTTCGTCTCCCCCTCCGAACTTACTCCCCTTCATTCTTCCCCTCCTGCTATCTTCTTTTTTTTTTTAACATATATTGCATTATTTGTTTCAGAAGTACAGATCTGTGATTCATCAGTCTTGTACAATTCACAGTGCTCACCATAGTACATACCCTCCCCAATGTCTATCACCCAGCCACCCAATCCCTCCCACCCCCCACCACTCCAGCAACACTCAGTTTGTTTCCTGAGATTAAGAATTCCTCATATCAGTGAGGTCATATGATACATGTCTTTCTCTGATTGACTTATTTCACTCAGCATAACACCCTGCAGTTCCATCCACGTCGTTGCAAATGGCAAGATCTCATTCCTTTTGATGGCTGCATAATATTCCATTGTGTTAAAATATTGGGTTTTAAGTTCTTATCCCAAACTACCAAGTTAGTGAAAGAGTTTTAACACTGGTCTCCTGATTTTATGAGTTCTACCACACCACACTCCCTGACCAATATTTTATGTCATGTCAATCAAATATTCTTTCACTTAAAAGTTAAAGATATTCAAGTAAGATTCTCTAAACTAATAGAAGTAAATTGTGAGCTGTCATTTCTGAGACATCCTTTTCCACCCTACAATGGGCAGGAAACACTGTCACTTTTTAACATATCACATAAGGGGCTTTTAGGGTTTCATGATGGTTCTATTTTTATCCGGATGTTGATTAAATAGATGTGCTCATTTTTAAAATTCACTGATCTATGCATTTACAATTTTTGTACTTTTCTGTATGCTTTTATGTGTGGATTCATAAAGACAGCAAAACTATGCTGCCACCTTTACAGAATCATCAGAACTAACAAATTCCTGACATATTAATCCTTTCATTTCCCACAAATTAGAAGGGGGAAAAATAATAAGCTTTATTCCTGGATTTAATTCCTAAAAGCAAAGGAAAAACTCACTGGTGATAAAGAAATGACAGAAATCATGGGAGAAAATAACCATGTCAAATGAAAGCTCATTGAGAAATTGCTAAATATTGAGAAACCAGAAACATTAAATGGACCTGCAAAAAGAGAGCAGAGAATATTTGAGAACTTTGGAATTAGCCAAAGACCAAACTCCATAATTTATTAACGGATGTGACTTAAATACGGTTATTTTATTCCTGTAAGGCTATTCCTCATCTGTAAAATGAGTTCAATGATGCCTACTTTAAAGAGATGTGAATTAAGATACAATGCTTCTGCATGTATCTGAAATGAGTATTATTATTGTATAGGAAAAGTAGCAAAACCTTATGTGATACTATCAAAAAAATAAGAGGACAATAGCACAGCTGAGTTCCTTTAGGGCTACAACAGCATCTTTCATCGTGGTATCCTCAATATCTAACATAGTGCCTGATATGCAGCGGAGTTTCAATAAATATTTGCTTAACTGAACTCCCTGTGATTCGAGAAAGGTTAGCAAAATAGTGATGGGAGAATTAAGGAGAAAAATAGATTTTGTGTAAAAAAATCAAGTAGAAATAATTGTAGATTAAATTTTCAGGAAGTCTTACAGAAAACAGCAACTGGAGGGGTGCCTGGGTGGCTCAGTCAGTTAAGCATCTGCCTTCAGCTCAGGTCAGGATACCAGGGTCCTGGGAGGAGCCCCACGTCCGGCTCCCTGCTCAGCTGGGAGCCTGCTTCTCCCTCTCCCTCTGCCTGCCACTCTGCCTACTTGTGCTCTCTCTCTCTGTCAAATAAATAAACAAAACCTTAAAATAAATAAATAAATAAAAACCCAGTTTATTAAGTACCCTGATGTCTTTGCTTGAAGCACAAGTCATGTGGAAAAGGAGGGGAAAACCATCATCTTTATATGGATTTGAAGGCCTACAGCCTGAACCAAACAAAAAAGGGATGCTGTCCTTATTCACACCACAGAAAGAGTTAATCCCCTTTACCCTCTTGTTTCCACTAGCATTTTTTAAGATCTAGGTAGAGACATATAAAATGTAAATAGTAGGAAAGTGAGGAATGAGGTATTGGCAGTGGTAGAGCACATTCCAAAAGTCAAGAGACTCAAGGAATAACATGCTTGAGAGATTAAAAAGAAGAATCCTGGTACTACATGGATGAATTGTAGCTTTATTATACTATTGGTCTAAAGTTCTAGAGAATAAGTCAACGGGGTTAAGAAAAAGTTGCCAATTAAGTAAAAATTTATATAAAGTATTGGCAAATCAAAATCCCTATGCATTAAAATAATACCGCAAACAAAAATAATACCTCAGACAAGTAGAGTTTATCCCAAGAATGTAAAGATGATTCAACATTTTTTTAAGTTTTACTTTTTATTTTTTTAGTAATCTCTACACCCAACATGGGGCTTGAATTCACAACACTGAGATCAAGAGTTGCATGCTCTTCTGACTGAGCCAGCCAAGCACCCCTGATTTATCATCTTAAAAAATGTATTACATTACAATTTAAATAGGAAAAACAATAAGATCAACTCAATAAGAAGTGAAAATACAAATTGCCAATAAACTTAAGCAGCACACATTCAGTAACCATGACAGATGCAAATGAAAACTATTTTTCTGATCCTGAGAATAAAATAACAAGATATTTAAGAACGGTAACAACAGCGGGTAAAAACAAATACTGTGGAAGAAACAGGCAAAGACATTTCTGGCAAAAGCTTAAAAGGTACACTCTTTTGCATGAATTCTATCATTTTTACCTGTTTACAAGCACTGGTACTGGAATGTAAAATATTTTTCACACCATGTGTAATTATGTTTTAGCATTCAATTAGTCCAGTGCTTTTCCAATTTTTTGGTCTCAGGACTGCTTGCACCCCTAAAAATTAGTGAGCAGATGAATGGTTGCAGGGACTGGGGGAGGCCTGACTACAAAGGGGCAGGAAGGAATCTGGAGTGAGTGATGAAACTATTGTATATCTTGATAGTGGTGGTAATCATATGTCTGTATGTGTTTTCCAAAATCATACACTTTATTATTAAAAAGGGTGAATATATGTAAATTAAACCGTTAAAAAGTCAGACCTGAAAAAAATTCTTGAAAACCCCAAAGAGCTTTTATTTGAGTTACAGGCATCAATATTTAGCATATTAGAAATTGTCAACTGAGAAAATTTTAAAGTAGTACTTAATGTTTTCGTTTTAAAAATAATAACTACTTGGGGCGCCTGGGTGGCTCAGTCGTTAAGTGTCTGCCTTTGGCTCAGGTCATGATCCCAGGGTCTTGGGATCGAGCCCCGCATCAGGCTCCCTGCTACGCGGGAAGCCTGCTTCTCCCTCCCCCACTCCCCCTGCTTGTGTTCCCTCTCTCGCTGCGTCTCTCTCTGTCAAATAAATAAATAAAATCTTAAAAAAAAAATAAAAAAAAATAAAAACAATAAAAACAATAACTGTACTAAATGTTAACATAAATTATGTATTCTTTATGAAAAATGACTTTTCCAAAGCAAAAAACATTTAGTGAGAAAAGTCCCACTGTTTTATATGTTAGCAAATCCTTTTAATGTCTGGCTTCAAAGAGAAAACAGCTGGACTCTCATATCTGTTTCTGTATTCAATCTGTTACAGTGTGACAGGTCATGTAGCCTCTGGAAAACTCCACTGTACACTTGTGAGAAAATCAGTGTAAAAAAGACAAATAACATCTGCATATTATTATGAAATAACTTTGACCTGGAACTGTCAGGAACCCCAAGGGTTCCTGGACCACACTTTGAGAACCTGATGTAGCCTATACAAGAAAATTTCAAATATTGAATATGGCGTGATGACGTACTTCTTTTCAAAGAAGGGAAACACTTTCTTACACAGATTATCTGTCCTCATTTAATATAATATTCACCTTTTCCAGGTCAAAACTTTTACCAAACAATGCTTTAGACTGGGCTACAAACATCAATGTAAATGAAAAATATTTCCGAGACCAAACAGTTCAAAAACAAAACAAAACAAACAGTCCATAAGAGGTACAGCACCTCCTCAAGCCCTCACTCCTTAACTCTCTCTATAGCACCAGGCAGCATGAACAGGGAGAAAGTAGAAAAAGAAAATAAATGACTCAACTGAAAGAAAGAAGAGATCCATAAAACCAAAAGGCAAACAGAGTAACTGCAAAAATAAAGCAGTACAGGAGCAAACATACCCTAAATGGAAAATACAAATATTGCTCCCTGGCCGTATACTTTTTAAAAAAAAACAAAAAACAACCCTCAAAATGCTGTATTCAGACTCTACCCCCAGGCTACAGACAGGGACTCTTGGACGGTGTCACTCATACGACGGTAAATGGGGATCCACTCTCTTCCAACAATCACTTTATCCAGCATGCTAAGCAAGATGACAGAGCGCCGCATTAAGGAGAATCTGGTGTGCCTGCTTGAGGCTTTTTAAGTGTTGATACAACTTTCAGAACTACTCATTCCAAGCGACCAAGTCCCACTTGCTGTCCCCGGGAGCTCAGTCCCCCGGTGACTTTCAAACACTGTACTTTCCATGGAAGTGGTGGTACCACCGGGAGACGGCGCATATCCGGGGCGAGCGCAGGCACGACCCGGGCTCCCAAATGCCGCGGCGGCTTCCCTGTCACCTGCCCCTGACCCGACGTCGCGGACCCAAGGTCGCGCCTCCTTTGACGAATAGCGGGGCCACCGCGCTCCCTGCCTCAGTTTCCCCACCTGCGCTTGAGGGGTCGGAAGGGTCGGCTCGCGGCTCCCCTCCAGCTCGACTACAGGACTCTGGGACACTGGCAGCTCGGCCGTTCAGGCGGCTCAGGCCGTCCTCTCGGTGAGGGGGCCGGTCTGCGGCTCCCGGCACTCACCCGGCTGACGCTTCAGCGCCATCACGGACACCAAGTAGTGGGCGATGTCAAAAAAGGGGAACATAGACGTGCGAGAAAAGGCAAGGGTCAGCTCATCCCACGGAGAATCCATGACGACGACGGACCACAGCAGGCGAAGCAACCCCGACGACGGGTTCCTGCCGAGCGCAAAGAAAAGTGGGGGAGGGGGCCGCCGCGGCCGCGCGCCCTCCTGCGCGGCCTGGAGGAGCCCTGCGCGTGCGCCCTGGGACGGGCCCCGGCGCGCTTTGGGGCGGGGCCGCGTGTCCCGAGAGTGGGCGGAGCGAGCGGCTTCTCTGTTGTTCCGGAGGGGCTGGGCCTGGGTCTCCAGGTGAGAGTCTGGCATCTTCGTGCTGGAAGCTGTGCCAGATCCAGGAGAACAGGCAGATGAACATAACATACATAATGATTTTAAAAATATATTACTTATGTTAACACTTAGCACATTTATTATTTTAAAGCGAATACGTAAAGAACTATTTTAAGTTTTTCTGTTGTAACTTCCAATATGCTAAGTATTGATCATGTAACCCGCGTAAAGTTTTGAGGACTCTTTTGGGTCCTCAAGAAATTTTTTTAAGTCAGCTTTAAGGGTTTAATTTACATACATCTTATTCACCCTTTTTAATATAAAGTTCTATAATTTTGGATAAACCTATGCAGTCTAGAAGGGTAGAGGTTCAGAGTGGGATTAATTTCTTTAAATTGATTCACCTAACATCTCTCAAGCAACCATAACGTGCAAGTCACACCATGTGTCTGGTGGTCAAAAATCCGTTTTCCAAGGGCGCCTGGGTGGCTCAGTTGGTTGGGCGACTGCCTTTGGCTCATGATCCTGGAGTCCCGGGATCGAGTCCCACATCGGGCTCCCTGCTCAGCGGGGAGTCTGCTTCTCCCTCTGACCCTCTTCCCTCTTGTGCTCTCTATCTCTCATTCTCTCTCTCTCTCAAATAAATAAATAAAATCTTTTTAAAAAAAAAAGAATACAATCATATCCTGCCCTCAATAAGCTTGTGTTTTCCCAAGAGGTTGAAAAAATTTTTGAGGTGAGGTGAAAATGCCCCTCCTTTCAGAACTACCGTTATAAATAAATAAATAATTTTTTGTTGTCTGTGCCTCTGTACAAACATTAGAGTCATGCCACTAACATTAATCATCAAGTTAATTCTAAAAAAAAAGTTAATTCTAATTTCTAATTTGTACAAAGCTGGTAGTGAGAAGTGTAGGTGCCATGCTAGGGCAGTTCTGGAGAAGAGGGAAGACTATTTCAGGGAAGTGTAAGGTGAACTGGCCTTTAAAGGCTAGGTGAGAGATAAATGCAGGTATTTTGGCTAGACTACAAAGTGAGAAATGTTGGAAAAAAAAATCCTTGAATGGCATACCATAAACTATGCGGTTTGGCTTCATCTAAGCTCTTGATCACTACATTATGCTCAGAAAAATCAGAGCCAGAATCCATTCTCTTAGCCGTTATACTAAACTGGGTTTTTCCCTTTTCGTTGGAGGTGAGGGGTAATGTGCCATCAACCAATAAGTTTAGGAATAAATTGGTGAGAAGAGACTAGAGATAAGGAAAACCAAAGGGTATTCACTGATCCAACTAAAAAGTAGTAGAGGCTGAGGACAACAGGAGCAGGGACTGAGATGGGGAAACATACATTAGAAGCAGAATAAGCTGGATATGGGGAGTAGGTGAGTAGGAGGATTATAGTTACATTCAAAGAAACAGGAAACAAGGAGAAGCAGGTTTGGGTAAGAAAATCACAAGTCTAGTGTGGCACATTTTTTTATTTGATGTGTCAACAGGTCATGCTGGTAACCAGGAAATTGGACATACATAATGAGCTGCTAGATAGGTTAGAGCCTTGTGGGAGTGTGCACTGCCAAGGGAGACTTAAATAGATTTTTTAAAAATCTGAATATTTGTCTGTTTTAATTCATTTAACAAATGTTTTTTGGGTGTCTGCTATGGACCAGGCATTTTGCTGGATGCTAGAGGCCCCTTCCTAAACACTAAGTGTTCAAAAGGCGGGAAAATTGTAGTAAATCTCTACATTTTATTACTTATCAAAAAAGAATATGGGGCACCTGGGTGGCTCAGTTGGTTAAGTGTCTGCCTTTGGCTCAGGTCATGATTCTGGGGTCCTGGGATCGAGTCCTGCATCAGGCTCCTTGGTCAGCGGGGAGCCTACTTCTCCCTCTCCCTCTGACCCTCCCCCCTGCTGGTGCTCTCTCTCTCCCTCTCTCTCTCTCTCAAATGAATAAATGAAAGATCTTTAAAAAAGAAAAAAGAACAGACTTGCTAAAAAAACTTTTCATATGTGGTTTTCTAAGCAAGTACTTTCCATAGAGAAAGCTCTTTAGATCTCTAGCAAAACTAAAGAAAAAAAGCAATACCTGTGATTATTTATACTTCCATGTTTCAGTTGATTCTTTCCATGCTTTTTATACATTCCTTTATCTTTGGAACTGTAGTGTTATGAACTTAGGGGCAGAACTTGGATATTATTTCCCAAAAGGTTTTACATTTGACAGTCTTAAATTTCACAAAATATGTGTTTTGTCATTGGACTTAAAAAAATAGTATATATGAAGAAATCTTTACAACATCTCCAATGACAGTCTATGCCACTATCATTCTGATGTATAATTAAATCAATTTTTAATACCAATAGGACAACATAAAAAGCATCAGAGTTTTTTTTTTAAAGCAGATAAATCAAACATTTTACTTACCCTAAGCAGACTAATTCCAACAGAAAAAAATGAATCACTTCAGGTTCCCCTAATAGTCTGAAACTTGTTTCATTTCAAAAACTGAGAATAAGCTGGGTCTCCATCTGCCTAGAGTCTAAAGAAAAAAAAGTTTTAATCTAAAGGAAATGAAATTATAATCCTACAAAAAGATAAGTTCTATCCAAATTTTAAATATGCTCACTATATTTGCTTCTGGTCAGTGCTTCAGTTATTTAGTCTAATAAAATAATCCAGAATAAAAGGAAATGAGCAATGAAAGGAAGAAAGGCTTTGAATGGGTAACAGAGAAAGGCAAGATTGGGGGAAATTATGTATGAAAATTCAAACTTTTCCTGACTTTTGGAAGCAGTTTACAAAGTTAAATAATCATTGCAGATAAAAATGAATCTGTATTATAAAGTATTGCTTATCTATTAGAAAGTAAAGCTGGCCTCATTGTATGAACATCTAGAAGAGTTTTGACTAAAAAGCCAGCATTTGAGTTAAAAAACATGTGAAACTAATTTTTATAAACCAGCTATTTCAACAACAATCCCATCGACAGTTCTTTCTTGTGGGGACTGTCTTATGCATTATAGGATGTTTAACAGCATTCCTAACCTCTACCCAATAGATGCCAGTAACACACGCACGCCAAAAATGTCTCCAGATATTGCCAAATGTCCCAGTGGAAGGCTGGGGTGAAAATGCCCCTCCTTCAGAACTACCGTTATAAATAAATAAATAATTTTTATGTAGTCTGTGCCTCTGTACAAACATTACAGTCATGCCACTAACATTAATCATCGTTAATTCTAAAAAAAAAAAAGGTAATTCTAGAACAACTCACATAGCCCTTCTTAGTCTCAGCTTGCTCACCCAACCCATCAAGTTGGCAAAATCCCAAAAACTAGTATTTGGAAATGTGATCATAGCTATTTCTTCTCTGCAATACTGCTTTCTATCCACTGAGTGGCATGCCTCTCACTTTGGGAAATCAATAACAGTAAATTTTTTTTCAAGATTTTATTTATTTATTTGACAGAGAGAAAGAGCATAAGCAGGAGCACAGGGAGAGGGAGGAGCAGGCTTCCTGTTGAGCAAGGAGCCTGATATTGGACTCGATCCCAGGACCCTGGGATCATGACCTGAGCTGAAGGCAGATGCTTAACCAATTGAGCCACCCAGGCACCCCAACAACAGTAACTTTTTAAAGAACCATAAAGAGTCCATAGTTAGGAGGTTTCATATTACACTTCTAAAACCCTTGGTACTCCAGCTAAACATTTTCATTCTAAAGTTCTTTTGATAAGTATTTGATAACTATGCTGTATCAAATTATAGTATAATATTATATGACATTTACAACAAAATATATTTAAATTGAATTCAACTTTTTTAATATCCAGCATTATCTGGGAGAATTAACTAAAGAACATCAATTGCCCTCAAAATACCCACTGCATTCAATCAGTTCAGTGAGATGCTGGTGCATGATATTTAAGTGATAAACCAATTTGAGTATACACTTAACTTTTTAGACTCAGTATGTATCTAATAATAGTGCCTTTTGATATGGTGAATTGTAAAATACTACTTGGCTCACCTATTTCTTGCCCTGGAAGCTAGTTCTTTTCTATAAACATCACATATACCTCTAATATAAACTATCAAACGAAAAATGTTCTCCCCGTGTAACAAATGCAAATATACCTAATTAAAAATCTGACGTTATTAAAAAGAATATCTCTAGTATTCATGAGTGTAAGGACTACCAAAATGGCAGTCACCCACCAGTGCATAGCTGCCAGGTGTCTGTGGTTACCAACACCCAAGGTTACAACTCACCTCTGTTCAAGATTAACAGGTACCATTACATCAAAGAATAATAACATTGTAGAAGTTGAATGGACCCTTTAAAAAATTTACCTTGGATTGCAAGTCGTAGAGAACAGTTTGGGGCAGCTTAAACAAAGTGAGGGCTTTACTGAAAAACTACCAGGAATCTCATGAAAGCCAAGGAAGATTTAAGCCATTAAGCCCCAAGAAGAGTAAGAAGCTGGGCATTTCTGAGGCCAGCAGCAGCAGGTGGGGGTGGGTTGCTCTCAGTTACTAATGATAGTCAATGTCAACATTGTTCCATCTCTATGTCCCCCTATTCAATACTGCAGGAAAGAGAGACTGCTGGCCTGATACAGATGTCCTCTCCTGCTTAATCAGCTCTGAAGGGAGGCTGGGTCACATGGACCCAGAGCATTGCTAGGTATCAGAGGCAATGTCCTGAAAACAAAGTGAGCTAGGCAACCATCACCAGAGGTGTCTATTACAATCATTTTCTTTAGTCCACTTACTTCAGAGTAGGAAACCCAGGGCTACAGAGAGATCGAAAATGCAGTCAGTGGCAAACCAGGATTTATAATTATCCTGTGTCAGTCTCTCCTA